CTCTAGCCACCATCAAACGGGAAGTCCTAGCAATGGAGCTTCCCAATGACAGCCCCTCCAACTTTTGACCACATGTCATGAATCCTCCAGACCTTTCGACAAGCTCTCTAACCTCTCACCTTCAAGTTCCTCACTCATAAAAGTGTGACTCAAATGTGGAAGCCATCTCCAACATTTGCTTTCAGAATTCTAGTTTTAAAGTGCAAACACTAGAAGTGACAGACAAGTGGTCTCTTGGTGTTAGTACAGAATTATGACTAGTATTGATGGCCAACAATTTCTTCCCCTAAACAGGAAGCTTTTAATAATGGGGGCTGACTCTACATAATGTGTAAAGTTGGTACATATACAGCTTATTTCTTGATTCTCTGAGGAGGAAGAAGAGCTTCTTTTATTTTAGGAAAATCTAAGTTATGTTAATAATACTCATTACAAAGCTGCATAATGTAGTCACACACACTTCAAGTAATAACTTGAGGGTGGGATGTTGTAATTTGCACTACAGAATCAGAAAATGACACTAACAAGTTAGGTCAAGTGTCTTATTCAAAGTAGCCAATTAAGCCAAAGATCAAGCCAAGACTTGAATTCACAGCTTCTGCCAATTCTCTGTGTTGCAGGCACTCTACTTCTAAGGATTTAATCACTTTGTGTCCTTGGGAAACAAGTAAAATCAAACAGAAATTAAAGTACAAATGGTAGGTGGTACATCGTATTTTAGAAAAAGAATTAAAGTGATAAAACAAAAATTGCTTTATTCAAGCAAACACTTATAAAGTGGCAATATGGTAGATACCATAAAGAATTTTAAGGAGATGGCAAAAAGGATTTTCTGGCCTCAAAAATCTTCTCAAGTACAGACAAAATCATCAACTTCCATTCACTTCATTCACTTTATCAATCCAGTTTCGTTCCATTCATCTACTGTTCAATTCCACATACATTACTGAGAACTTGCCATGAGCCTGGTGCTGACCTAGGTACTGAAGATACATAAGACAGGCCTCATCCTCAGGACAGAGGTAGGTAAACTTTTCCTGGAAAAGTCCAGGTAATAAACATTTTAGCCTCTGTGGGTCCTTCAGTCTCTACTGCAACTCTTCAGCAGTACCCCTGGGGCACGAACACACCAACAGACAGCATGTCCACGAACGAGCATAGCTGTGTGCAGTAAGACTCTGTTTACCAGGACAACACCCAATTCGGCCCATGTGTGATAATTCGCTGACCCCTGCTCTGAGCTCCCAGGTTAGTTCATGAGCCAGATCAAATCAACTCACCTCTGGAAATAATACAATGGAAAAGAATTTATTTGAAATATGAATGGGGACATGAATATTGTCTGGCAGAAGGGCTACTGAAAGGCTTCTTACAGGAAATGGCATTTAATCTGGGCCCTTAATAAAGAGTAGGGTTTGGGAGGTGTTAGTACAAGTGAATTTGTGGAGAGTTGTTTGTACATAATGCTCTTAGAGAATGGAGACTCGTCCAGGGGGGACAGGGACCAGGTCAGGAGGGCCTAGCCGGCCACAGTAAGAAAACTGGGCTCTCCTCTGCAGTCAGCAGTGGGCACTGAAAAATTCTTAAGCAGTGAAATGATGTGATCAGATATGTGTTTGACCAAAAGAGTTCAGAAGTCAATGAGGATGATGAGCTTGGGTGAAGTGGGAAGAGATTAAAGACAAAGGGGTTGAAGGGAGGATGTGGTTACAGTCTAAATAACCAATGGGTAAGCCTTCATCTTAGGCTTTTTAGTGATGTGAGAAGGGGAGATGCATTCTGGAGATGGTTTAGACCTGCGTGGTACAATATGGTGCCTGCTAGTACTTGAAATGTGGTAATGTCACTAAGGAACTGAATAGGTAATTTGCTTAAAATTTTTATTAAGTTCAATTTAAATGTTAAAAAAAGTATTCAATTCAGTTATTACAAAATTCTCAATTATGTTTGGAACAATTTGGATAATCTGGATCTACTTTTCCAACAGTAAATTTGATGAGATCAAAAGACAGACTATGTATTTCCAATGAATACTTGGTGTCTGCATTGAGATGTGCCGGAACGGTACAATATACAGACTTTATGAACTTAGTAATTTAAGAGTACACTATTTCACCAAAAATGTTTATATGGATTAAATATTGAAATTTTGGACATACTGGATTAAGTAAAATATATTATTAAAACTTGAGACATTGTAACTGACTGTACTCTAATAAAAAATTAATTAATTAATTAAAATTAAGTTCC